AAAACTGTGGATTCCTCCTTTCACCACGTCGCCTTCTAACCCTGGCACGACCATCGTGCATGGCTAAACAAAATCGAGACTCGTCACTAAAGACAATACTGTTCCATTCCTGATCCCACAGTGACCGTTGTCTGCACCACTCAAGGCGACTACGTCGGTGTTCTCGAGTTAAAGGGAGGACCCAGTGTGGCCGGTATGAAAACAAGCCAAAACTTCTCATTCGTCGGTAAACACCTCGCATGCCACTAGGTCTTCCGTGTTCTGCAAACCATTCATTTGCAATGGCCCTGGCAGTGGAGAAACGGTCCCTTAAGGCCAATAATCTTAGGCGGCGATCTTCACGATCTGTTGTTCTACGGCGGCGTCCAGTGTCCCTTGCTCTTTGCGTACGGCCTTCTCGAAGCCATGCCTGACAACACCTAACCACAGTGTCTACACTTCTTTGCACTCTAACTGCAATTGCCCGAAAAGAAAGTCCAGCTTCCCGAAGTCCCACTATACGGCCCCTATCAAACTCACTAAGTTGACGAAATCGTACAGGTCTCCGTACTCTAGGCATCGTAACCGATCGTAAAGGATGTCAAGAACCAAAATCCGCCAACGTTGATCCTTTACTGTGGCTGAAATATTCATTTTTAGAGCGTTAGTGAATTAAAAAAAAGCAGTAAAAAAATCCGGAATGTCCAACTGATAAGGCTGAAAATTTTTTCACTTGTTATTTACAGTAAGATAAATACATTCACCAACTTTTATTAAAATAAAACCATTTAAACTGGATGTTCGGATTTATATGTCACTTAGTATATATACAGCTAGTTGAGTAGATTTGATCGTATGGTTTTTAGGAAGTTGTTGAAAAAATAATTAAGCCATATGTTTTTCACCAATCACTACTTGCTTCGTATAGGTACAAGTTTTTACGATAAGAGCCGCCTAATTTAAAGCTTAAAATAAGTATCTGACGTAAACATGTTTCTGGGTAACACGCGTCAAGTACTTTTTTGATAGATATATGAAACGCTTTTAATAAAAAAACAGTATTTCCATCAACTGTCGCGATTTCCTGTAATGGTTGATTGATATACTTGTAGTCGCCGTTCTTGGCGGGTCAAAGTAGGACTACCAGTATCACTTTATACGAGCCCCTTCCCACTTCAGTTGGCCCAACTATTGAAATCTTAGTTTTTTTCTTATCAAACATAAATAATAAAAATGTAGTAGGGTGTTATAGGTTTAAAATATTAACAATGAATATTTTGATAATATGTCGTAGAAAACACCAACTTTATCACTCCCTAATCCAGCATAAAAATAACACATGTTGCAATTACAGCATATCAACCTATTTTCATTTCAATGCAAAATAAGTCTATAACGCATAGATGGCTGTGGAAAATAAAAGCCATAACAATTGTTTTTATTAATCACAGCTGTCAGAATACGTTTAAAATAGTTTGGGATAGTTAAGGTTTTCAAAATGGGTAGAGGAAAGATTATTAGTGAGACAATTCGGTTACTGATAATTACATTTTTTTATTCTGGGAAATCAAACTCAGAAATTGCAATTTTGTTAGACTTATCGCGGTAGAGTGTGAGAAATATTGTTAGAAGATATATCGTAACTGGTTCAGTTAATATTAAGCCACGATATGTGAAAAAAAGTAATATCACAAATGCCGACCGAAGAGCATTAAGAAGAATGACCGTGAAAAACAGGCGTGCCAATTATTTACAATTAAGTGTTCTGTGAACTGACGCTGTTGGAAGGAGAATTTCGAGGTCCATAACTGATAGAGAGGCCCACAAATGCAAAAGAAAAATCGGCTTAGATGAGCTAAAGAACGTAGACAATGGACACCTCAACAATGGTGTGCAATACAATGGAGTGATGAGGCCCGATTCGATGTTTGTGTTGGTGACAGTCGCAGTAGAGTTATTCGCAAAAAAAATGAAGCATTCCATGTTGACTGTTTGAAGAGAAAAGTGAAATTTCCAGCATCCATTATGGTCTGGGGCAGTATATCATCAAAAGAGTAGGAAAACTTCATTTTATTGATGGAAATGTGGATACAAACAAATATTTGGCAATTTAAGAAGAATCGCTGTTACCAGTGATGGAAGAATGTTTGACATCCGGCCAAGATTTTGTGTTTCAGCAAGAAGCAGCGTGCCATACCTCAAAAAAGGCTATAAAATGGATGGAAGAAAATAATGTATCACTTTTGAAATGGGTTTCTAGCAGTCCAGATCTGTCACCTATTAAAACTTTGTGGCACGAGATGAAGAAGGTTTTACGACAACATCCTGCTCGTACAATCACCGAACTGGGACAAAAGCTTCAAGAAATATGGGATTGTTTTACACCAAATTTTTGCCAAAACTTGATTAACACTATGCCCCAAAGAATTTCAGCCGTAATAAAAAATGAAGGTGATTTTACCCAATGGTAATCATTCAATTGTTGCTTTGTTAACTTCGCGCATTTATTCGCACATTGTTTATTTGTTCAGATGTTCTATTAGTTATAGGTCTAAGTGATTTCAAATATGTATTTTTTACGACCAGAGTGTATCTAAAATGCTTTTGAGAAAATAAATTGTTTTAGAAGTAAATAGTTTCGTCATGTTTAGTTTATAAAGGCATATTTTGGTACAAATCTTGAAGTGGGCCAACTGAAGTGGGAAGGGGCTCGTACATTAACATTTTAAGATTTTATCAACAAATATCGCTAGTAAAGCTATTCGATCTACGAAAACTGTTCAAAGTGATGACTTATTTTAGGGTAGAATGTAAGATTTGTTAAACCATCAGTTGCCGCGCCTGGTTTAACCACAGTTGTAGCACTAGACATTATAGCTTTTTATCGGTGGAGTTATTGTGTGGTCCGAAATCGTATATGTCAATCTCCCTCATATATACACATGCAACCTACCCCTGTAGCGTTTCTTCGGTAAGCTCAAAGACATACGTTTTTTAGTTGTGTGTCTGCGTCTCGAAAACTTTTTAATACGTAAGAGTGCCTTTCAGTCATATTTGTCAGAGTGACAACTTACTTGACATCGGCGTGAACTGTCTCGTTATCAATACTCAATATAAAATTGTACAATGCCCGGAAATACGACGAACGGAGAAGGCTGACAGCTCGTTCTGAATTTATTAGAGTATTTCCAGGAAGAGAATGAAAATAGCAGTGTTACCCACTTCCTGCGTACTGGAGATAGTAGCAGTAGTAGATCCGCACATGGTACGGAGACTCGATCTGTTTACTTATTTCATATGGCTTTGATGAAGTAACCGCCAAGAACGATGGCTACAACTATACAAGGATAAACACAAGCCGCATGAGTTTAATATGTGTATTTTTATTTCGATTTCTGAGTTAACAAAGGTAACGGATCGGCACTATATTTTCCGAGCTGGGTCAAAGTCAAGGTCAAATCATAGAAGGTAGTCAGTGGTGTTCTTCGATATGACGTTGAGTCTCATCTTCAATGTTACTTCAAGTTTATTTTTTTTTAACGGAAAGCGAGTTTAAAAGCAGTTCGTTTTTCAATTCACAGACAACCCCCTCTCACGCTTATTGATTCTGAATCCTTTATATCCCCTCCTCCCGAGAGGGACATCTTCCTGAGCATGAACTTGAACCTCTTCCCCAGCACTTTTTTGAGTAATTTCAAATCCATCACATGGACCTCTAAAAATATTTTCTCGGTTCGCCCCTGTTAACACCTAACATCAAAATCATGTCTGAAACGTTTAATATCTGTTAACAAGAATTTTCAATAATAACCCTACAACTTTTGACCTTGAGTCTCATATTCAAGGTTATAACAGTACGTGAGAACGCCTAGAACGTAAATTTACCCATTGTTGTTGTCAAAAGGGGGATTTTAGTTGAAAATGAATTGTCCTTGTAATTATAGGAGGTGAGCGACAAGGTTGAATCCAAGGTCACCATTGAAATCCTTGTTAAAAGTTACTAAAGAGACATTTTTTCCATAATACTCTTCCGAAACTTTCAGAGATGTACCCTAACCTCACACATTTGACCTTCATTTATGACCTCGATACATATTCGAACGCAGAAATTTTACGTTATTTTCATTGCCGGTCTCAAAATGGGAGCTTTACATTTAAAAAACAAAAGCTGATTTTGAAGTCACCCTGGAGGTAAAACTCAATATCAAATCCAAGGTCTCCGCTGAAGTTCTTGTTCAAAGTTAGTAAAGATCTGATCTTGACCTTTTTCAAAAATACCTTACCTGGGAAAATACAGAGTCGTTCCGTTCCTTTTGTTACCCCAGTATCTATATGAAAAGTATTTTGAAATATCCTTAATGTTGGTTCTATGAAGAGCTAATAAGGCTGCAGGCTACAGGGTATTAGGGAAGCAGCAACGAAAAATTACTTTTGTAGATACATTTGAAAAACGATGTTTTAAATAATCTTGGTAGACGAATAATGCGTTTTAATTCTGTTACTAAACAATATCAAACTCATGAAGGGCTATTGGAAAATTTTAGAGAATAATGGATCGATAAAGGTTTTTTAAAATTAATGTACATTGAACCAGTAATCGTTTAAGTAAAAACGTAAGATAAACGTGAACTTTCCAATAATAGTTTCCAACTTCAAAATTTCTTCTACATGCTCGGAGTTGAATGAGATGAGATCCAAGACATAAGCTTCAGAAAGTACCTACTTTATACGTTGCAAATTTTGTTCTATATTTTTGTATGGAATATAAACACCCATATGCATATACTTAATAGACAGTAAACTGCAAATAAACTATGTTAGTAGCACTGGTATATCCAGAGCGTGTCCGCACTCTGAGTTAAAAAAAAATTGAATGTGTTTAATTTTGTAGTAGTTTCAATCACCGATAACCAAGCACCCCGAGAGATGGACATCTTCCTGAATATGTCCATTTGGACTAAAATACTATATATCCATACAAATTAAAACCATAATTGCTAAGTGTCTCCATTCTATTGCAGTATAAGATTAACAACATGCAGCGGTGTCCGTACATCCACGAGATGAAGGAACGGCTGTTGGGAGAGCAGATCCCCTTGGAGGTGGTGCCTGCTGGAGCAACGGGAGGGAAGAAAATCGCAACCCCCACCCCGCCGCCACAGTTCGTCATGGACCAATCGCATCATCATCAAGCACCGCAACACCAAACTGTAGCTACTGTAGTTAAGGTAATTCAGATCTTGTATCTCATGAGAAGTCCTCCAAAAAGCTTCGTTGTTTACGATAAGATTGAATGGTTTACAAAGAACTAATTTGTGTTAAATGCTGTAAGTCATGTGATGTATGTTACACTCTGGGGGTTTAAAATAACGATCTTGATTTCAATACTCTAAAAATTATCTACCATGCTAATTTTGAATCTATCCTAATATATGGAATATTTTTTATGGACAAAACATTTACATAAATCGACTTTTTATAGTCCGAAGAAGAGCTCTGACATGTATGCTTAAGATGTACAAAGAGAATAGAATCATGCCGTGGAAAATTTAGTTCTAATAATATTTTAATCGAAAGGACTGAACTCTATTCAGGTCAGAATAAATGTAGTATTTTATAGGCACTTTATATCACTTCGGCATCACCACCTTCATAAACACACGGATGCTTGACAGAAATTGATGGTATCTATGAGCGAATTGTAAATCCAAGAACCGCTGTCTTTTCTTTGTAAACCAGTAATAGTCCAAGAAACGACCACAAAGATTTGGTTACATCGCGTACTGATATGATATGTTAAAAACCAGTCAAATCTTACGTATTTTGATGCTATACAGCAAACCCGAAGAATACGTAAGATTTGACTAGTTTTCATATCACATACAGATATGTAACAAAAAATATGCGGTCGGCTCCTGAACTATAATGTAGAAGAAATTCAAGCTCAGCGGCTCCATTAAGGACGTAGCGTCCGCATTCACCGGATTTAACTGGATTCTTTATTTGGAGGTATTTAAGGGAACATGTGCTAATGAGCAATCCAAGGAATATACCCTACTTAAACAAACAAAATTGCAGCTGTAACCCCAGAAACATTACGAAAAGTTATGGAATACTCGAAGCACTCGAGTACTAGAAGCAGAGTGTGATACATATTCAAAAATAGCTAATTTTCCATTGTTGAAACAAGTTCATTGTAATTATCGCTCAAATAAATTATAACGGTCTTGAACGTTATTTTGCGCCACCCTGTATACTGTGTAAAATTGAAAACTGCAGTCCACGGTCGAATAAGCTGGAATTTATGCCTGCATGCTAATCCAAAATTCCTCTACCGGACTTTTTTGTTCCAAAGACGTAAGTACACAACTGTTAATGTTTGAGAATAGGCGAAATGCTTATTAGATTCAAGAAAAAAATCATTTCCAGATTTGTATCCACACAGATTGGATTTATGTCCGGTTGATCCGTTCCTGAGAGTTTGCCTTCGAGCCATGGAGCTAAGCACTGATTGGATAGTGCTAATGCCTTGACGTTAAATATGAGATTTCGTAAATCTTTCTACTTGTAATGTTTTCATTCATTTGATTTTATCATAAGAAAAATGCGAGCGAATGCTTGATCTGTTGCTCTTTTTTCCAGTTGAATCCTGACGGTTATAGCTCTCATACATCGCCAACGCGCCGAGCTGATAGAACACCATTAATGCCTAAGGAACCAGAAGATGAATTCCACTACGTTCACCAAAAAGTGTATCCAAAAAATGCCAAGTAAGTGTACTTTTGTATTACACACGTTATAGATTTTCCCGTATATTTTCCCTTACAACTTATAATGATAAGTAGGCCGAAATCGAAACCGAAACTTCCAATTGAGGAATATGATATGAGAGGTTGGATTGCAAGATAGTAATGTATCCCCAAGAAAAAACAAACTCAGTCTTTATCAGTTAATATCAGTAATAATAATAACAGTCTATTATTAAAGAAAAAACTATGTAATATGTATTAATCAGTCTTTATCAAATATTACTAAGACTTAGGGAAAGAAAATTAGAACAGTAATACGTTTGTCTCTTAAAAATAATGTATTTTTGTTCCCAACATTTTGTAAAAGAAACAGACAATAAAACAAAAATTACAACTTATGGCCTGTTGGACCAATATTATTTAACGTTACTATGGATGGAAACCTAGTTTAGTTTGAAGATTTCTATTGCACAAGTAAGTATTTAAACTTCGTTTAAAATTTCGTAAACTGAAACGATCAATTTTTGGAGTTTAAAGATCGTCTAATTCACTTCTAGCCTTCAAATATGGATTTTATTGATGATTTGGGTATCCTTGAACTGACAAATATTTTCAAGAGAGTAACTATAGCATTTTTTAGAAAATTTACTTTGTACAGTTTCGAATAGTTTGCCTGAAATTGAGTCTGAACTGGAATTTCCAAATTATGTGAGTATCCTCTATCTTAAATTAGATGGAAAAGGTTTCTAGATTTATGTAGCCTTACAAAACTCAAATTCAGTTTTGGTGCAACAGGCCAGTAGAACGTAATATAATAATCATTTTTCAACAATCTGATATTATATGACATTAACACAATTTTTCTACATTTTTTCCTACAAAATTCGACCTTAGGTCTGAATAAGTTGCTTGAACGCACACTTAGTTTCTGTTGCATTATCGTCGGATTTTCTGCCGAAACCAAAAATCTGATTTTGAACCGAAACTGGCAGAAAGTCAAGGTTCGGTCTGATACTAATAATAAGAAAAATATGGGTCTTTGTCTACCTCTGCGCTCCGATGGCTGTCGTCTAACTGCCGGGCTGCCGCTGCCGCAACTGGCTGACTGACTGCGGCGAACGGCTTGATCCGTTTAATGCCTTTGTTATACATGTTCTATGCTCAGATGGCCTAACTTTTATCAAACATAATCCCTTTCCTGTAATTTGTATCGGTAAGCTACGTCCAACATTGAAAATGTCCAAATATCTTACGTAACGGGTAGTGACGAGATTGGGTGTATTGCAAAGAGTAAAAGGGAGTATCTAATACTTTGGTACCGAAAAGGAAGAGAGGCGCAAAAGACATCGCACGCCCATGCCAGCGCGGCATCTTTTTTAACTGACAATGTTGGCGGGTATCCTGCCATATTCAAATAGATGCCTCGTTTACATGGGCGTGCGATGTTTTTTGCATGTTCGGTACCCGCCCAACTAGCAAAGTAGTGGTATAAGCTTTTGGTAAAAGAACCGTTCAGCCATAAAAACTCTCTATTGTTGTTGCGTGAACACCAAATGCTGGCTTAATGTTGTGTGGAATACAAATTTGCTTTCTGCAACATATTCGCTCTAAAGTGAGGTGTTTAAAATATTCTTATAGCTTAATTATACAACACCTTATAGGGCAAACTTTTAACTATTGCATAAACGTTTATACAATTATTTTATACGGCATATTTGCACGTTAGTCAAAATGATTGTGTTGTGGCATCCATGGTAACGTTTGAAAAACAAACCCGAGCCTTGGAAGCTCTTATACAACGTCACCATAACCTAACTATCTACTGTCATATTTTTGTTAAAATTCCATAAATGTTTTAAGACAAACAACGTATGCATATTGGTTCAAAACGTTTTATCAACTGTTCAAACAGAATATATAGGTCTGGTACAAATTCTGGGTAAACCATTCGACTCTGTCGGTATTTCATTTCAGACATTTGTCAAATTGTTGTATAACACCTGCAGGCAACACCAAAATATTCTAATAACCTAAAGACAACATGTACGATGCCATGATTATACACAACCACCCGCCATATTGGGCAAACATGTATTCCTCTATTTAATATTAAATAATTATGTTTCAGTTAGAAGTTATAGATATAAAGTGACAAACATTAGTGTAATTGTGTCTAAATATAGGATTTGTGAAGGATTTAACGCAGATAAGTTCAGTTTTCCATCTAAAAAATCTAGACATACTTTTGACCATTATCAAAATATGAATCAAATACGAAGCCCGTAGAAATTGCGTAACTAATTTGCACGATAATCACACTAAAATTTGCTGCGCAAGTAATTCAATAGCCCTATATCACAGTGTAGAAGTTTATCATATACCTGTGTATGAGATTCACAATGGCCGATATGTAAGTAAACAAGATGACTGTAATGTGTTAGTTATATATTCTTCTTCGTCTATACAATACAAAAGAAATAGTTTGGTTGCAATAAAGTAGAATCACGTAACAGAATAGTTGTATAGTTGACAAAAACTGAATCTTGCACTGACGCAAATGTCCTATAGCGGCTGCAAGAGGCTTACACTTTTGTTGTATAACTGTTACCTGCAGCCCTTATACAACCTCTTAAATGACTGAAGTGTCCTATTAGGTGTGCCCATTCCGCTTGTATAGCAGTTCTAAGAGGGTTTTGCCAATGTTCTTAGAGTATACAATGCTGTTTAAGGAATACTGTATAATCATTCTTGCAACTCTAATAGGAGTGATAATTGTTAGTTGGGCGAGTATAACACTTACTATAAAAACTTATTTTGCTTGACCGATTTTGTAAATCCTAGCGATGATACGTATTTAGCTAGGGCAGCTTGGTAATTAGTCCGACCGAAACTTCAGCATCGGCTTCAATTTCGGCCAGACTCGGCAAAAAAATACGCATTTTCTTCGTATACTGAGATGTTCTAGGTGTCGCTGTCTAATATCGTACATGTTAATGTAAACAGTTGCTTCAATTTGACTAACATCTTGAGCCCTTAGAGAGCAGTTCTCTGTACTTTGAATTTTGGATGCAAATGGTTTTGGTTTGGGTGCCGCCTAGTTCCAAGCACTATATAAAGAAATGACAGTAAACAATGTTGGGTATCTGGCGCTAAAGGAGATACCAACTGACAAGATACACAAACCTTTATTTGACAAAAGAAATAAACAAATTAAAAGAATTCGCAGTACATTTCCTATCATGTGACAAATTTTTTAGTTTGATTTTATTCAAAAATGGAACAATTTATCGATATTCAATAGAAGTACCTTTTTTATGTAGAAAACATTAAATTCTCAAATTCTAAAATTGAATTTCAAAAATAGAATCACACAAAAAATTTTGGGCTAAAATAACCTGAGTCCGTCCCTGTTACATACGCTTCCAAACAAAACTGTCTAAAATTGTTAATATTTTTAAATCCAGCATAAAAAACTAGGCTGGAATACCAAATTTTATGTCTTTATCTCAACACGTTTCGGAAATATTAAGGAAAAACCATCTTCAGGGGAGCCCGTTTGAAAGACCGTAGCGCCCTTAGGGGACGTTTGTCGACCTATGTTTATATAAACTTTTCTTCCTATTTTGAGTTCTAGAAACCGCTGGTAGAATATTGCACACTTTTTTCGGGACACCCTCTAGAAAGACCTCAACTATCCGGCGACTGTAAGCACAAATCTCTATATCTTTCTGTTTCGACATAACAGATGTATGGAATTCCTCTAAGACAACTCCTCTAATTTTACTTTTAGTGAAATATATTTTTTCTGTTGAAGTGTTCAACAAGTGCTCCTGAATTAATTTCATCATACGATGGAAATTTAATTTTGCAGCTCACTGAAAATCGTTTGACGAGAACTGCTGTTAAAAGACCTAGGATAATATGCATATTCATGAGAGATTTTAACAGCATCTGATCTAAAAACATCATTCCTTTAGCCTTTGAGAGAGGAAAACTAATATGCATACAGGTGCTTTGTTCAGTTTTCGATAACTAGTTATATTCATGAGACAGCAGGTTCTTTTGGACAATGATTTTAAGGCTATTCCAGACTGAAAAATAAAATCATCCAAACAAATGAACGAGGTGATGTTCCCTAACTGCATACTGAACTGATCTGGTCCACTATAAATGACCATTCGGCTAGAAATATGACGTATTCTAATAGCTTTTACATTTGTTACGTAAAGCTCAGGGTAATCGCTTCCAGATTCCAGTAAACCTTCAGGAATTCATTTTTCGACCAGTTGTCAATATGTGAGTTTACTCAGAGGCGTTACTGATTTTATTAGATTGAATAAATCCAGGGTAGTCTTAGAACTTAGAGCGTCGAGATTCGTGCCGGTAGCTTGCGGAATGCCAGGACATACAGTCGTACCCGCTCCGAAAAGTATTATAATTTTTTTTTCATAGTTTTATTCAGGTCCAAAATTGCTTCAAATAAACTCCGAACGGTGTTTTTGGATCAATCTAAACAATAAAGGTTTTCTGGGCTTTTCTCTAAAGTTTATTGTTTCCGAGATATAAGTGGTTGAACATTTTCGACCACGAAAAACTACATAAAAATAAGAAAACTCTGATGTCGTCAAAGTTCGTAGATATTCCTCAAACATCCGTTTAACAAAATCTCAAAGCATTTTAGGGAGTATTATCACAGAATCTGTAACTCAGAAGCTACACTCAAGCAAATTCCCCAGTACAATTTTCAGCGTCCTACGCATAAGCGACCGGCTACGGCGGGTTGCGCGCATCGCCGTTTACATCGACAAGGGGCGGTAAATCGACGAGAACTCCGTACAGGTTTGAACAACAGAATTTCGATAGTCCCGAATGGTCATATAGTAGGTGAAATCATATCATAAACTTGTATGGATTTTGTCTCTGATAGTGAGAAATTGCTTGTTGGAATTAAGGGAATAATTTAGTAAAAGGTTTGACTGGCCACCGACGGGAGTAATGTAATTTGTAGAATGCATGAGATACAATGCATCAACAAGATTATACAGGGTGTTCCTTAATGATATGTGAATCCACATGAAAAATTAATGTTAGTTTGCTT